TGCTGTAGTTTTCATGTAAAAATGATTAGTACATGCTAGATCATCAGAATTAGGTCTATATGATGATATTTCTACCCAAAATAGTCTCGAACGGACGTCTTGTTATACCTATTGCATGAAAACAATATTGAAAAGCTTTGTTACTAAAAAGACTATCTTAAAATCTAAATGTCCATTGAAGTTTATTACTATTTGATTGATTTTGAATTTTGTGTATTCAAGTATCTATGAATGTTAATAAGTTCAATAGTAAAATTATTGTTTCTCCATAAAGTAAATACATTTATTTATTTGATCCCTGAAAACAAAATGTTGAATGTAGATGAAGAACTGTGTGTATTGTGTAGAAGCATTCAAGAAGTTGTTGATTTATATTCATGAAATGTCTTCCAGCTATCTAGGAAGGTTTTTGACAAAGATATATCAACCTTACCAAAGGTAAAAACAGTCATTTTTTCTGTGTCTTTCGGAAGATTGATGTATCTCATTCAAAAACTTTTTTGGGGAGCTAGAAGTCGTTTCTTTGTGAAGAGAACTGTTCAGTCTTTTAATTCGATTAATTCAAACAGAACTTCAAATATTCTAGTTGAAAATGAAATTTTCTACTCAAATCACTAGCTGCATTCTGATTAACGCTTACATTAACAGTAATTCTTTTATATCTTCTCATTTAATTCTTTTAGAATGGATTCAAATAAGTGATGAGAGTGCTTTATTATGATCATTATAGAAGATTTAGCGACATATTTTTTTTAAAAATTGAATTTTTATGACTTTCATATGCGAACGTAAATACGAAATGAAAAGATAACTGTACGAGCTATGATTATTGAATATAAAGTATTGATTCGAAAAACTAATATTTAAAATGTACTCAGTAAAGTATAAGTTATTCTTTGAATATATTATATAAGTGAATGATATTATTTGATGTCAATATTCTTTTATATATATTTATCTTTGTATGGTGACAATGATATATCTTCTTTCATTATGTATTTATGATAATGATAAAGCATAAGTGTAAAGAATAAAGAACATTAGAAGAGAATGATCAAATAAAATAATGTCATAGTTTCGTCGGTTAGAATCTGTAGAAGATATGTCGTTTTCGACGTGAAAACTTTAAAGAATGGTGGAGATTTGCAAGCAGTATTATAATCATGGTGTTCAAGAGCTTCATAGTAAATAATTGATAAGAAACTAAAAGGTACACATATTTTATCTCTGCAGAAAATCGTTACCTTGATTAAAAAAAAATCAATTAACGAATATAATTATTTATTTTTCTTTCGCTGATTCAATATGTCGAAGGACCAAAAAGTCTTCATAGTAAAATAAAACTATGTCTGTTAATAGAAATTTGTTGAAATACACAGAATGAAAAATTCTATCTATCATTATGAGAAATATAGTTGTTGAAAGAAATTTTTCTTATTAATAATAGATTGGATAACACTATAAAGTACTTGTTTTTTCAGTAAATCAAGCTGCTTCATAAAATCCATAAGAACTTGATCAACTCTCAAAAACTGTGAAAAACAGTTTGTGTTTTCATAATAAATTTGTTATATTATAGCTGATCGAGCTCGATTGCTATTCCGTTATTGTGAATTCATATAATGAATGGTTGCCTTTCACATGAGATTCTACTTACGCTTTACATGGAAAATTGAATAAGTCTATGACTAATTGTTTGTCTAAATTTAGTAGTTGCTTTGAATAATTTATTACTCTCATGTAAAGTTATCTTGAGAAAGAAACATGAAAACATCGTTTACTTCTTGACAAAAATATGTTGATGTTCACTCTCTCATTTATATTGCTAAATCTAAACTTGATGTAATATTTATCTTTTATTTTTTACTTAGAATTTTATGTAAATAAATTATTCTATTTCAAAAGTACTCAATGTCTGATGGAATTGTCAAATGAGTAATCCATCTCAAAAAAATAATAATATTCTATTTATTTTAGATAAAAGCTAATTGTTATTCTAATATTCAACGATTACATCATTATAATAGTGTTTGAGGATTTATTTTTCGTTTTCTTTGCCTGTTGATTTTGATGTTATTTGATATTCAAATAATTCTGTCTTTTTCAAAGCGTTTTAACATTTCTCGAGACACTACTTCATGCACATATCAAAGTCTTAATCTCGCCAATAACCTTTAAATCAAAAATGACTGAGAAAATAAAATCTTAATTTCATAGATAATTTTTTTAGTTCAGAATACGTATTGCTGTCTTATTTTAAAGCAGTTTGGTCGTTTTTCATATCATTTTTTCTAATCCTAATCCTATGATCATTGTTAATCAATCGGTCATTAATCAAATAACGCAAGTATTGTCTTTGGTACTGTAATTTCTGTGTTCTTAACCAAAGTACTCTACTCAAATACTGAAGAGGAACGTATAAATGTAAGACATTGATTAAATTTCTCAAAAACTTCAATATCAAGAAGTTAATCTTTTATTTAGAGATCATATGAAAATAGAAATGAATACAGCTTATCGTAATTTATTTGAAAATGTTAGATAAGAAATTCTACATAACATATGAACTACAGCACAGAACTCACACAGAGTCAATCAATTTTATAACATATAATATTGCATTGAATGATTGATTTCAATTATTTTCAATAAAAGTAATTTACACGATTGTTCTCTTAATTCTTTGATAAAATATTCTTATAATGTTTTCGCTTCATATCGAATTTCTTAAGGCCTCCCCCCCCCTCAAAAATCGATCTCAGCCCAGGTATGTTCAAATGGGCTGAAATTTGGAGCATATGTTGGGGTTGATGCGAGGAGGCTGTGATAAAATTTTCAGCTCAATACCCTGATGTTTGACTGAGATATTCACCAAACAAGGGTCAAAAATAGGTCATTTTGGTACAAGGATTTCTCAGCCCGGACCCGTCTAACCTATTTAAATTTTTTTTTTGTTAGAAAGAGCATATCAGGATGCAGAGCACTACAGAGTCCTTTTTTTGAGATTCTTACTTTTTTAGCGGAGAAAGGAGATCACAAGTCCAATGACTCAAAAAACGCCCCAAAAATGGGTGTCCAGTCACATAAGTGTCTTTATATATAATAAAAAACAAAGCTTAATTAAAAAAAGGACTCTGTAGTGATCTGCATCTCGACGCGCTCTTTCAAACAAAAAAAAAATTTAAATATGTTGGACGGACCCGGACTAAGAAATCCTTGTACCAAAATCCAAAAATCATAAATCGAGAAAAAACGAAAAACATTTCTGGATATTTCAAAAAACCGCTGGTTTTTCAAAAACTGGTTCTCTGAAATTCTGGAATATTTCGGGAAAAAATGGAGGTTTTAGGAAAAATTTTTATTGATTTTGAAAGAGCAGACGACGGGCTATTTTCCTATGTATTTATCTCAATTTTGACAGTTCTCACGAAAATTGACTTTTTTTGAGGGGGGGGGAGGCCTTAATGTTTGAGATTAGTAGATCTGATTACAATTAAAATAAATGACTCAAGTTTGACAAATATATAGATCAATTCATGTATACGATGTCTTGTAATTTCTTTCGTTCTTTTTCTAAGCATATCAGTCATGTGAATCTGTGTGCTTATAAAAATAGCAAGTCTTGTGATATTTCGACCTAGTGCTTTTTTTTTCTTATTCTATACTCATACACTTACTCTAGTATAATTACAGAGTAAGCAAAGGAAAAAAAAGCTTTAAAAGCACATATATAAAGTGAGAAATGAATAATTTTCTTTCTTGACTACAAGCAATATAATGCATTGTACCTTCATATTATGTTTTTTTGCGCTCCTTGTCTTTGTTACTTTTCAATCAACAAAAGCTGAAGCAAGTAATTATGTTCCATTGAACAGGTGTGTATGGTCTGATTGTAATGTAAGCAATATTATTCCTACGATTCAAAATTATTCAATTGATTGTTGCAAACTAGAAGTTCCTCTTAATTATGCGAAACCAAATGAAACAAAAATTATTATTTCAATGGCACGTCTCAAACCTTTCAGTCAACAGAATGCAACGAATAATACTCTTTTTATTCTAACAGGTGGTCCTGGTGAATCTGGTTGGACTTTTCTTGAATATGCAAGTGTTCTTTTTCCACCAACTTATGGCATAACTATTATACTGCCTGATCATCGTGGTATTGGACTATCGACTTCCTTAAGTTGTGACGATTATGGTTCACAAAATATAACTATTGATTGTATTTCCTATCTTACTTCGAAATGGGGCATCGAAGGTTTGAATCAATTTTCTATCACTGCAGCAGCTCATGATTTATCAGTTCAAATTCGATATTATCAATCCATCGTTTCTGGCCGTGTATCCGTGTATAGTCTTAGTTATGGAACAATGTGGCTTGATCGTTTTCTTCAAATCTATCCAAATTTAGTTCAATCAGCTATTATGGACAGTGTTGTCAATCCACAACTTTTCTCTTCAAGTCGTTATGATCTTTGGACATCATCAGTTGCTTCAAAATTTTTAGGCTATTGTCAATTTCAATCAGAATGTAATCAGTATTTTCCAGTTGATGAACCACCTCAAATCATGCTATCGAAAATACTCATAGAATTGTCTGAAAACAATCAACGTTGTGTCAACAACTACTTTTCACAATATCATTTAACTGATGAAAAGCTACGAAGTTTATTTCGCAATATGATGTCATCAAGCACGTCATATTATGATCGTACTGTCATACCAGCAGTCATATTTCGTTTGAATCGCTGTAACCAAGAAGATGTGACGGTATTAAAATTTTTTATCGACACTACTATAGGAACTCAAGGAAATACAGACACAAACAGTTCAACTATTCCATCACTTTTCGGTTCTGCTGTGCTCGGTTATAATATTATTCAATCGGAGCTGTGGCTTGGTAAAGATGAAGATGAAGTCAATGAAGAGACTATTTTAGCTTGGCATGCTTCAACTTTAATGGCTGCAGAGAATCCGAAATATATTATATCTTTACGATCTAAATGGCCTAAATATCCATTAGATGAATATTATCATAAAGTGGCTACTAATTCAACTGTATTGATGTTATCAAGCCAGCTTGATATGGCAGCAAATCTTGATTATGCTATTCATCTTGCAACAATGACAGCTAAAACACGAACATTCTATGCTTTTCCATTGGTGGGTCATGTTATTATTCCTATAGCGCTACTTGGCTATCAGTGTCCACTAAAATTAATGTGTTCATGGGCATTTCCTGATTTATTTCCATTAGAATGGAATGATCCTAGCTGTATTCAAGAGTTTCCTACGATAATAGATTTTGTTGGAGCTCATGAGCAAGGCAGACTTGTCTCAATGCATTATTTGAATATATCAAAGCCTTTTGACAAACTTAATTCAAGTGTTCTTCCGAATTCAAGTATCCGTTCGATGAGTGCTTATGACTTTTTCATTTACTTTTCCCTCTTTTTTCTCATATTGCTTGTCGAGATTAATTGAGAGATTGAAAATAATTTTCTAATCGTTCAAACTAATAAGTGATTCTTATTTGAAATAAAAGTCGAATTCACAGTTTCAATACATAACAAGATAATTCTATAATAGAAACTTCTTCTTTGAGGAAAACTACAATTGGGTGATATCAATTAATTATAATTTAGTCACACACAACATTCTACAAGAATAAAGATGGTATATGAAAAATGAAGATTTGCTCGATGGAATGAATTGTTGAATGATCTCATTGGTAAGTGATCATTGAATGTTGACATTCACACTATGAATTCATCAAACGATTTTGAAAAGAGGAAAGCAATATTCATTATAGAGTAGGGAAAATTGCAGACAGTCAGTCTGAAGCACTAAAAGAAGAAAAATGATTTGGATTATAGGAAATTTTTATAGAAACTAAAACTTTCTCTCATGCATGGCTTCAGCTCAATTTGATAAATTTACTAAATATTGGTATCTATATACTAATACCAAATGTTTTTTGTTCTCGAATAGATTTTTATTTATCTTATTTTACTGGTAAAATATCTTTACCTTTGCATTTAGGAGTGTCACAGTTCCCATTTCTGAAACTTTCATTCCGAATGAGTTAAATCAAATTTCATTTTTTGATTCTGTTTACTTTGAAAAGAAGACTGTCGGTAAAATCTTTGCACAAGATATTATAATTGACCGAAGCCTCGTTAGTCAATCATCAGAATTTTGTTGCGATCACTTGAATAAAAATCTAATGAATATTTTATTCACATACAATACCAAGACAATAGGATTCGACTATAAGTATCGTCTATGTTGCGACGGAAGTCTTTTTTTTTCATTTTATAAATAGTGAATATGACGATCAACGAAACATTGTCGCTCGACTTGAATGAATTTCTCAGAGTATGAGTCATGTTTTGGACACTGTCAGCAAAATAAAAAAGATTGTTAGTATAATCCCTGCAGGATTAAAATGTGACATACGATGTAGCTGCTACTTCTAATAACACGAAGATTGTTTTATTCTATCCATCTTGAAACATGTTTTTTCACTATCTGTCCATTGAGTCCTCGAGCAATGCAATAAGAAAGTAGTGCTTTTTTTTCATAACGAAAGGTTCTTGTTATACGATTTGTGATTGCGCTTCATCATCTGTCACGATCTATGGGGAAGGGATCTAAAATTCTATCTATATAGTTGAAAACTCTTTCTAGACCGTGTTTTACAAAAAAAGCGTGATCTATTGAATATATCTTCTGAACGTTGCATATTTTATCTTTCAAAAGCCGTAAAAGTCTGTTTCAAAAATCGATTGCAATAGATATGAACAGTTGCCATGAATTAGTCTCATAATCAAATAAATTTGCTTCACATTTTCTTGCATGTTTATTAGATTTATTATCGAATAAAGAATAATGATAAAATATTCTATGAGGCTAGATAGAAGAAATCGATAGATGAAGTTATTATAGTTCTTAATGGTCATGTGTTCCTCCGGCTGTCATGGTCACTATTAATTAGATATTATCATTTGCGGCTGCAATCGTTTGCGAAAATACTGCTTTCTCTTCACCATGCTGATTGAGCAGGAATGTTTGAGTCGAATCTCCAATTCCTAGACAATATCAAAGATAGATTCATATATCAGTTGAAGACCCATTATTACATACCCCAAGAAATGATTTCGTTATTAACCAGTTCTTGACGTGTCGACGTATCACTACGATATGTTTTCAATGATTTAACAGTAGCAGCACCTTGTGTGGAATAAATTCTCAATTCACCAGTTGGCCGCAGGTGAATTCCATCAGGTAGTGTATATCGATATTCTATCTTTCCATCGATCTGTCGTTTGATCAACCATCTTGAAATGTCTACAGTTTTATCCGGCGAATGATTCAGCAAACTAATATATGCTCCATCAGGTGGACATTCTCCTAAAATAAATAACAACTTCGATTTTTTCACTGTTGCTTTTGCTGTTGTGTATACTCACGAATGCCAATGTTTCCTCTCTTTTGACTTTTCACAATGAATTTTCTTGTTACGATGCTTGCCACTCGTTGCGGAGAAGGAGCACGCACTGTATACTCATACGCACCATAGTTTCCCAACAGATTACGATATACGATGATTTCACCCTCCAAATGGAGTTTTCTAAATGTATTCGATAAGATTATTGTTGCTTATTCTTAATCAATAGAAAACTTTCTAACTTTTTTCGTGTTTCTTCAATGTCATAAGCAATTCCCATGATAGTCATCTGTAAGCTTTCAAGATCTTTTGCTTGAAACTCCCATCGCTCATCATTTTGTTGTTGAGTCGATCGAAGTTGCAATTCAGATTGAGCTAGAAAAAGCAATTATTTAGCAAGAAAAAAATTTAATGATCACTTACAGTATGTGCTTTCCAATTTCATAATAACGTCTTTTTCATAAAGATAAGTTTTCTGTACTTTTTCGTATTCAACCTGTAGTGTCTGCAGACTTGTTGAGAAGGTTTGAATTTCAGTCGATTGATACCGTAATGCTTGTTCAATTTCTGTTGCCAGTTCGTCCAATTGTGTGTTGTAATACACAGTCATATCACGTTGAAATGTACCATATAATTGTTCGAAATCACGACGAATACTTTTAATCACTTTATCTAACTCCAATGCCCAGAATTGCTTGACATCAAATGTGCCCCCTGATACCGATGTATATCCTCTTTAATACAGAGAAAAAAAAAAGTTCCACGATCAAGTAAGTAAAAACAAGTAAATTTTACTGACCGTGTTGAATGTGAACGTAAATTTTTGTAAAATGCAATCTGATTTTTCAACAATTGCATATTCAATGCCCATTCTTTACTTTGTTTTTTCATATTAGACCAATCATGTGTCAATCTCAAATATTTTTGATATGCATCATCACGTGCAGCGTAGAGACTTTCCACTTGTCGTCCTAAATCTGAATTCGATGCACGCAAACTATTTAAAATTACCGACGATTGATTATACTCTTGTTCTAATTTTAAACGTCGTTCATCTTTCCATTCTTTTTCAGTATCAATCAATTGTTGATAGATTGCAGATTGTAATTGATACATTTCAACTTCGAGTCCGAAATCAATACTTCCATGACTTGCCGCAATGAGATCAGATTGTAGATGTAGATAACGTCCATTCAATTCAATATCCGCCTCACTGAAACCGGATGTGAGTCCATAACTAGCGATTTGTGCAATATACTTTGCATTTTGAGCTTCCAAGTGTTGTACACGATCGACGAAATGACGAAGACGTTCATTCAATTCATTGAGTGCATGTTTTTCATGCTGATATTGTGTCTGAAAATCGTTTTGAAGCTGTCGAAGATGTACAAATAATGACGACGTATAAGAAGGAGTTGAATCAAAGTGTACATCTCGGCGATGGTATGTCGCAACGATATTCTCGTTTTTGTTGTTTTCGTCCATAATATTGGTACGTGAATCAGACGACATTTTTTACAAAAAAAAAACCATTCACCGGTTGGGGACTGTGGTTTTTATACGTGTTTTTTTTCTTGGTTAATTACCTCTTTTTACTATCGCGAAGGACGAGACAAAGATTTGGTTTTCGCGTACGTTTCGTTTCTCTCTTTTTTCTGTATTTACAAATGAAGACCTAACCACATACCGATCTGAAATTCAAATATATTGCTTCTGTTCTCTTTCTTACTCACGGCATGCTTTTTCATCATCATCATCATCTCTCTCTCTTTCTCTCAATTGAATACGCCGGACAAATATTGATATATTATTGATACTATTCTCGAGTATTTACTATACTATTTAAAGTGCATTGGACAAAGAATTACATGACCTTGAGTCAAATTATATATTTACATTGATAAGTATATCATATTCTACAACTTGTCACTAAATTGAAAATGACAATCTTTGAATATGAAATTATTATTAACAGGTGATAGAAGAAAGTATATTTGTTAACTCAGATCAGTTGACACAAGACAACAAACGAATCAAGATGAAATTTACATATTTTTTATTATTATTTATAAATCAATGAAGAGAATGAAAGAGAAGGGTGTCGATAACTGTTAATATTAATCCCCTAGAGATATTTGATTTCTTCTATGTCAAACTGTCAGACAAGGTGTTCGACAGTAATCTCTGGTAGAGTTATTCATATACTGTTTATTTGCACTATGCACAGATCGATTTAATCAGTTATCAACTCCCTCCCCCCACTTTGTCCTCATCTGTCCTTGAGCAAACAACCCACAGAGGAAAATGAAGCCATAGACTTTTGAGCTTGTTTTTGTTTAATACCTATTTTGTAAAGATTATGCGCATTAAATTGTATTTATTTGTTATTCAAGCTCTTTAAAAATCTGCTATTTTGATCTCAACATCTACACTTGATCTGAATTCAGTATCCTTGATGCCGATTAATTCTCTGGTATAGACCATTCGACATGATGTCTTTTTCCAACATCAAATTAAATCTGTTCAAAATCGAATTTTTGTTCAGCATTATTGGCCATCTAAGATGCAAAAGCGTACTATTTCGAATAATATCAAGTTACATGAACAGAAATGATCTTTTCATTCAGGCCGATGGTAATATATATAGAATGATAGGGCTTGAAAGCACATGAAGTCTGTCATAGAGACAACATCTAGATTATTTTTCTCATAGATCAACTGAGCTCTGTCCAGAAGTCTTTCTTTTCTGAAAAGTTCATACATAAGAAGCAAGAAAGCTAGAAAACTTCCCCAACTTACGAACTGTATTCACTATTTGCTTGTTGTTCGCGAAGATGCATAAAAACCATTGGCTGTCTTAACTTATTCGTTAATAAGGGCAGCGTTTTTTCTTTTTTCTATATTTGTTTATCGATGTTTAGTAGCATATACTAGTCTGATGATGATAGAGAAGACATGAGAGACTGCACTTAGCAACTAATGAGCTATTATGACCACTTTTTTTCGTGATGGATGCTCGTGATCAATGAGAAAAATGTAAATAAGGCTGATCGCATTCGATCCTATTGTATGAAACACAAAAGGTTTAGTTTTAAGTGTCTATTGATTCATGAACTAAACCGTATATCTGCGGTAGGAACTATCTATCACGGCAGTTTGCGAGCACTCAGAGGGATCTAATCTTGTTTTATCATAGTAGTAGGCGATACATGACTCTCGGTAGCCACTTGCCTGGTTCTTTAATCATTCCTTTATCAAGAGGACTTTGAATCTGTCCATACATGGGAAAAACTATCTTTAAGAATGCATCAATCTACAAAAGGTTGTTCATGTTGGTGACTGAAATGTGGGTGTGGGTGTTCTTTTCATTCTAGCCTAAATCCTAGGTTCACTATGTTTCATATGTGGATGAAAATAAGGAGCGATGGTCATCTTGAGATTTCATATAAATATGACAACAAAAGTTTAACATGAGGTGTTTCAATCTTGTTCATTAGAGCCTATTGAATATTTTTTACTATATAAAAAAAATGTCGACATTATTTCTCCTAGTTTGTTTATAAAAGGAATTGTTTGTGAGAAGCAGCCGTAGAAAAGAATCATGACACGTTTCTAATTGTATTTTTATAAGTAACGATGAATAAAAAATTGAGTATTATCTATTGTATTTATTTTTAATCAGTTCATATAAATCAAGTTTTATGTTGCATCAAGCTCATCTTTAGTAATAAAAGGAGTTTGATATGATTTCTATATAATTGTTGTTGAAGTAGTAGATATCGATAATATAGTAAGAATGAGTGGCAGAACAATCATCAACATCTATGAATTGCATAGTCGATTTCTTTATCAGCAGTCAATTGTATATGTCCATAAATGAATTGAGAGAGCTTTTCATATTGATTTATTGCTTTTCATGAATACTTTACTTCAAGTAATGCTCGTTGCTTCAATTCACTTGACCGTCGATTGAATGGCTACGACTATTCTTATACAATTTGCGTTGTTCAGAGAATTTTTAACAATATCAGATCTATCCATGCATATCTGCTACAATACTATTGTGCTGATCTAAAATAGTATAGTCAGTTTAGAGTCATAATGATCCTCATCAATAAAACCGCTATTAGTTATCGACCACTTCATAGAACAAGGCTGTATAAAAAATTATGTCGTAAAATTCTTTCTTGTTCATCACAGCAGTTAACAAATATCTTTCATTGCTCTTCGGCTGATAACGTTAAGAACGATTACTTTCCCATGAAACATTATACAGACACTTAAATAAATACAGTCTAAAATATCCTTGACGTTCTGTCCTCGTACAAAAATGTTCCCAACATTCCTCTCTTGAAAAAATGCTTCTCAGAGTAAATGCCTGCCGTCAAAACGTCATTGAGAAATAGTCCTTCATTAGACAATGTTTCTCATTCTCAATTGCGTTTTTTTTGAATATCATGTTATTGGAACACGTCGATGATGCTGTAATTCGAAAATGCTAGATGATGTGATTGTGAGTGAAAGAATGATAGAATAAGTGTTATGAGTTTATATTATAGCTGAGGATACTTGTATGACAAGTTTTATAACCAATAAAATAACACAAACATATTCAATTTGTTGCCGAAATAACCAAAAAATGGATATATGCATATTAACAAGTAACACTCGTCGTTTCGACTCACTCGACTCTTGGCCTAATCTTCAACTGTTTCTTTATAGTATACTACCTAACAAGCCAGATCGATACTAATGTGAAATATATGCATCAGAGGGATGTAGCGATGAGTATCAATGTAGCTGTGCGTGTGTATGGTTCCTCATTTCAACTACTGAATCGATCATGTTCACAGACGCACACTCAAATTAAAATATCGTAGACGGCATATTAAAACCACACCTATATCTCACATACATACGATACTCATACATCCAGCGCATGTCAAAAGTTCGTCATGAACTCAAAAATCTCACAATCAGGCCACCAACAACTCCAACATCATCGCGTCCACATCTCAGATCTACATCAATTCTCGCCTCGCATCCAAACCTTCGGCATTACCAGATAATCATACCCTTATCGATACCCGTTCTCAAGTTCAACAGCAAAAAAACATACGACAAGAATACTCATACTCATTGTCCAGACCCCAAGAGAGAAAAAACGGAGCCCTGGAATCCTATAGAATCTTGGAATCTTCAATCCAAAAGCCCTTAGAAATAGTACTATTGCAGGAAAATCTGTTCAAATATATCAATAATTAATAGAACAGTCTAAGAACATTTATTGTAATTTTCTCATTCAGAATCTCTTCTTTTTAAATTCTTTAATTTTGACAAGTCGACGCAATGATAATCAATTTTTTTTTAAATAAATGAATATTTTTTTATTTTTTATTTTTATTTTTCAATTTATGGATAAATAAATATGAGATAAACAGCAAAAAAAAAGAATTTTAAGGAAAAGAATTTTATGCTAAAGCTCCCGACACATTAGAAGACCCGGGATCTTCTATTCTGTCTTATCGCTCATAAGTGACAAGGAGGGTCTTATATTACGTCCCCTTAAAAAGTTATATTTTTCAGCAGTCTTTTCAACAAATCTTTGTTTCCATTCATTTTTGTTCAATATAATCGTTAGAAAAATAGTATTTTACTTATTCGACATGTGTATGATGAGAAAACAATAAATGTTATTCTGTGAAAAAGAGAGTCTGTCATTGATAATAAATATTCTTAGAATATTAAAGGCAACGTATCCGAATACCTTGATAAAATGTTCATTAGCATTTTTTTCCAAAAAAATTAGATCTGCCATTGACCAAATTTTAACTTATCAATAACTAAATAACTCAGAAAAAGGACTGACTTATTTTGTCAAACTCAATTAAATTAATCATTCTTGTTTATTTTTGACTAGTATTGATGGAATCTGTTTTCATTAAAATCTTCTAATAGCATATTTATTAGTCTCAAGCCAATGTCAATGAATACGTTTGTATTAAGAATAAGCAATTAATAAAAAAAAAAAGAGTAGTTGGATACACATTTTGTGTTTTCTTCTTAGTCTTTTTTTGAAAAATGGCTTCAGGTTTTATTGAGAATAGAAATATGTTCTGAGTCTCATGAGAAGTACTTACAAAAAATCGACGCGTATTAGAGATGAAAACCAAATCAAATTGTCAAATAATCTTATTCGATTGAATTCGTCTGAGGCGAACTAAAATCCGATCGAAGATATTGCTGAACCGAGATTTTCTTATTCGTTTCTTTCTTGAGCGTATATACATGAATTCACGTTTTTTTCAATTATGAAAGAATGCTTCGTGATGAATATGTTTCAGAATTTCTAGAAATCCCAGATAATTAGACTTTTTAATTATTACGCAACGAATTTTCATCTAATATGCTACTATTTTACAAAGATTTATTCATACGTTACATCCACGGTTCTGCACTGAGTCCATTATAACCCTCATACTGACCTAAGATACAATTACGGACTTAAATACTAAAAAAGTTAATAAACTCCAGAAATTATTTGTAAAAAATCGATGTTATCAGGGGGTGTTCTAATATATCTTTTGCTTCATTTATCCAAGGGGGGTCTTCTAATGTGTCGGGGACTTTAGGCTTTTCCAATGACTTTCTTTATCAAGCGAGTAAATAAGAAGTGTTTGAATAAGATCGACTAGTCCTTATATATTCTATTGAAATAATTTGTTTATTGTTTCATTAAAGTAGACAGAATTGATCAACAAGCATTTCTAATTGATTACCTTTTCATTGGCGGAAACTACACATATTATGATGATTGTTTTATATTAATTTGCAAATTTAGAACGAATATTCATTTCTTTTAATTAACACTGCTCTTTCATATGCATACCATAGGGAACTCAAAAATCAAAAAGATTTCACTTAAATGGTCATTTCAAAAATTTCCATAAAAAAATTCATGATTTTGATTATCTCACAGACATCGAATTCATTGTATTAATTCGATTACTTTTACATCATTTTCATCGCATGATTTTGTCTTTTTTCAGAAAAACTATAGTTTAATGCATTACGGTGTGGGGTGTGGGTGTGATTGATCTCTGAAGGGGAATCATACACTCATCCACACCCACAACCACACTCTGAAAATCTAGAGGAGTTTTAAGAAATTCAAACGAATCCCATGGAATCCTAGTGAATCCTTGAAAACCGAAAGAATCACAGGAAATCTTTGAAATTTAGAGGAATTCAGGATTCCGTTTTCTTCCCCTTGCCACACCCACACCCCAAACCTACTTGCACCCTAACATGCAAACGAATGACCAAGTCAAAAATACATTCGAGATTGGTGTGTTGAACGGCTTAACATGACGTGCGTCACAGTTCACTCGTGTAACAGAACAGATCATAGTAAATCACGTTGTTATCAGTTTTTCATTCATTTTCAGTGCGAAAAATCGAGAATCGTCCGAAAATTGTTATTTCTCAGCAGCTTGCACAATACATTTGAGAACTCCCACAGAGATTTTTATCAAAAAAATGATTAACTTTTGATTGCTGTTGTTATAGTCTGACTAGATCAATAACTTTGTTCGTGCTTGGAATTTGCCAACAAAATTTCGTCAAGAGAAAAGAAAAAAGATAAACTACCAGGGTAATCATTGCAAACGCTTAAGGTAAAACCATTTGTGTCGTTTTTTTTCTTTCTTCTTTTCTTTACTCAATTCTTCAATCTTTTGCGCAGATTGTGATAGAAGTAATTTAATCAGTATTCAACATTTTTTATTTTCTTTTCTCAACATCGACTTTATTGTTGACTAACAGTGAGTGTTAAAGCAAGCATTTTTGTATCAAAGCTTGTACCTAGTATTACTCATATTGATAGTGAATCGAAATTAGCATTATCATATTGGAAAAAAACATAAGAAAAGTATCTATCGTAATGGTGACGCCGAATACTATTGGAAATCTTTCTCTTCTATCAGGAAGTACTACGGAAGGTCAAACTTACGCACGTCATATGGCAAACCAAAATATTCAAGATATTGATATTCTTATCCATTGTGGCATCATTAAATCAAAGAAAAATCTTATTCAAACAAGTGTTCCAGGATTTGTCAGGATTAGGTTTGATGATGGAATAGAAGCCACTGGTAGTACGGAATTTACAGCTCAAGACGATGCTAATGGTGTTTGTTGTCTAAATGGATTTCGACTCAAAGAAATAAATTGTACAAGTGAAAAAAAAATTGGTGCTCCTTTATGTTATGTTCAGCGATCAGGTCAAACATCATCTGATGCATCTAGTGCAGCTGCAACACAAACTTTGAGCTATGAAACAATTGATATCAGCAAACAGTTTCGCAATGCTCTTCTATCCATAGAACAACAACGTAATCAGCTATATTTTGATACTATTCGAACAAACTATGTTCTATTCAGTAAAGGTGTATGTCAATCCATAGCTCAATATGCTTTGCCATTATACCAGACGCCTTACACTGCAACGATGTTTGAAGAACAACATATCAATGAACAAACTTTTCGTGATCTATTCACTTTAGTAGGTCCTGCCTATGATCATAGTTTACCACAAGTGACTCTGGTCCGCATTAAAGCTCTTCTCAATTTCTATGATAAATATGCCTTTATTGGTAATCCCAAGAGTATTACGGATATGGCAGACTATTTTAAATCTTGTGCTCCTGTTGATGTTGATCTCGTTCCTTCACTTCAATTGAAGTTTTGGCCGGCAGATATTCAACCTTTTCTAGATCGAATCAAAAGTAATCGTCCACAAATTTATCGTTTGTTGATAGACAAAACATCGATGCATGTCATTCCGAAATGGTCAACAAAAACGCCACGATGTGATCGGGAGCTTGAGTTTCGATATTCATTTTCAGCCATTGAGTTGATTCTCGCTCAACAACGTTCCGTCAAAGAACGAGTCTTGAATGGAATTGCACGAAGCATTTATTATAAATTTTTGAAAGGTCAAAAAGTATCAACACAGAACGTGATACCGTCTTATTTCATAAAAACCACAGTATTATGGATGTGTGAAACGATGGATTTCACTACTGATAATGAAGAAACATTGGCCAAAAGATGGCTCCAGTATGCTATCGATCGATTAAATGAACGTGACTGTCCACACTATATCATTCCTGATTTGAACGTACTCGAACCATATTCTGCTGAATCATTACAAAAAGCTGTAGACATTTTATCACAAGTAGATATCAACGAGACTCATGAAATACAAATGTTTTCTGCTAGTAATCAGGAACTCTATCGGAACAAATATAATAAAAATCTTGCCTATTTTTTGAGTCAAATGAAAGTCATCGATATCATCAATGCTCTACACAATTATCGACAATTTAAAAAAAATTGGATCTGTTTAGATTCACAGCTGATAATCGATGATGATGAAACAGATATGAATGAAATGCTGACTATTCTCAACACATTACGTGGGTTAGATGGTGACTATGAAAATTGGAAAAAATTTCGAGAAATATTTTTAGCCCGCACACCTTCTTTACCACCAATTTGGGGTGAAACAGTGAATGTTAATAGTGCTGTTGATTTTGCTGAAGGTTTACTCAGCATCGGTGTAATTCTCACATTTATGAATGAATATGTCGCATCGAACAACTTACTATCCTTACAAGGCGCACAGTGTGATGTGCAAGATTTTCAAAACTATCAAAATGTCATTCATCAATATTTAGACTCACAGACACTTTATACAAGTTTACAATCCACATATGCTTACTGGTACAATACATCAGTAGCCGCGTTTGAACGACGACGACTAATTGATTATCATCCTTATGGACCCGAAATACAATCAACTGAAGTCACAAAAGAAAAGAATCACTCCAAGGTTCTCATTGAACTGTGTCAAAATGCTCCTGATCAATACATAACCTTGAGAGATCTCTATCAGCAACCTTTCCTGAACACTATAACAGAGGATGAACTGATAGCTCTCGCTATTCAGAGATCCCTTAAAGATCAAGGCAGTTCAACATGATTTCTATTTTCACAAACTCATTTTTATCTTGATATGCGTTATTTTTCAAAAATATTTCTACTTTCATGTTAAATCTTTTTTGTCAAACTTTTAAATCAGCTTACTCTTACTCTTGAAAACATGCCGAAAAATATGATGAAATCAAAATTGAATTACTATATGAAAGAAGAAAACATATGAGAATACCGAAACTATTGGAAACTAGCAAGACATTATAACACCCAACTTTGTTTATATCCGTCTTTTATCGAGTCTTCTCCAAGATTTGAATATTGCTTGAATGTGCGAAAAATATTTAAAAAGGTTTCAAAACTCAAATATAATGCGTATAACAAAATCAATTGGCAAAGAATGAGTGAAATGAGCAGATCGCCATTGTTTAGTACACATGGTTGCGGTATTGATGTTCAGATGTCATGATTCAAGTTTCCTTATCATAACACAATTAGAGCCTTCTCATCGACTCAATTGCGTATTACCACACTCACACCTACAAACTATCCTAAAGTGAACTCTAGTAGAATTGTACTTAGAGAATTTATCTGTGCTGCACAGTTCGATTGACATAGTCAATGACTGGCACATGTACATTGAACTCGAATGTTGAGGATAATCATCACTTCTGATCTTCCTATCTCATAAGCAACACGGCTATTTTTATATGGTTCGACAATGTTTTTCAAGCGCTTCAAAATGAGTTTCAAGAAAAAATCATGCTGACGGTTTATTTCGTCTTTTATGTGGAGTTCTACTATCGTGTTATGATCTTTAAACTTTATTCTTTCTGTCTAACTAACTTTTCAATAGAATCCATTTTTTGATATAATCCTGAGGAGAACTAGCGATAAATTTTTCGACGAAAAAAAACGTTGTCAAGACTTTTGAAATGCATGTAAGTCCACTCAGCTTTGAATACTGACGCGCGGAATATCATATTAGTTTTCACTTGAATCATATTTTTCTAATCGAAATCGACTAAATATCAGGCAAAACAAATCGCAACATCATATCTCAAGAATAGTCTCTTTGAACTTTGTTTGTATAGTCAATGCTTTTTTCTTAATGTATTTACATCATTTTGAAGCGCTTGAAAAGCCCTATCAAGCCATATGAATACAACCACAGCACAAGCAAGTGTTATATGTCTAGTTCTAACAGATCTCATCTTCTGACGCCTTATATGAGAGTTTAACATGGTAGAAATATGATTTCTGCAAAAGACCAATTTTCTTAGTTATTGACTCATTTTTTTTATGGTAAAGATAGTTGTAGCCCATCTTGTAGATCTATTACACCCAATTTGGACTTTTGGTTCCATGTATAAAAATGCGACTATGATTACATCAGTTCAATGTATGTGAGTATTCATTCATTTGATAGCTGCAATTCACATATAACGATGATCAACAGTAGGAAGTGTCAGTGACATCATCGATGATACTTCCGTATTCCATCTACGGTATATGGATGTTAGTCTTGATATTCGTGTTGACCACTTCGAAATTCACACTCACTCTACATAAACTTATTGAAAAGAACAGAGAAACAACGTCAAAAGCATGTTGTTCTTTAAATAAATATTTGGAAGGTACTATTCTTCAAGGTCAATAAATAATGTCAATGAGTTTCTTTCTCTTCTACTTAAAATTCATGAGCAGATTTACGTTTACTGTTAAGAGCTGAATTACGTCCTTGAATTTCTTTGTATTTCAGATAATTGATTAGAGTGATATTTAAAGCTTACTATAGATCCTTTTCTATTGTGATCCAAATCACAACAGTTGAATAATGCATCCTTTTTTCTCTTATTCGGGTACACTATTTCTTTTTTTTTTACATACATCGAGCAGCAATGCAACCGCCGATGATTGTCGAAGTATTTTTTACTCATATTTTTTTTCTCTTTCCTTTCTTTTTTTCTCTTGCTTAGCATTGGCAAACCATCAATTAAAATGTATTTTGTATTTGTCGGTTCTTTTGCCGATTCTATCGAGCAATCAAACGAAAGTAAGAAGAACATTCATAAAAATCATGTATCGTGGTGGTATGGTTGGCCTTGCTACTCCATGTCTTGTGCATGGTTGTACGATTCGAAATGAATCCAACGATAGTGTCTATGTACGAATATTATATCAACCAATAGCAGGTCAAAGGGACGAAATATTTGAAAGACGTTGTGAATTTCAACTAGCAAAAGGTGCTCAAACACATGTTGACGATGAAACATTTGACAAAGGTTCATTTCAAATTCGTGAAACAATTCAAACGATTGAGGTTACTCGAGCAAATGGAAGAAGCCAAGAGATCAGTGCACCTTTTGAAAATGTCAACAGCATTGAACTCGATTGGCTTTTTGTCATTGATAATACAAGCATTCGATCGGTTAGACGAAACAGTTGAAGATAACTATCTTTTCATTATTTGATACCAAAATACGTACATAATTTCATATGATTTGTCTCACTTAGAATATACTAATTTTATCTTAATAAACTTCTCGTATTCTTCAGAAACCTATATTTCAATATTAATATTTTGAACATAAATCTTTTTTTTTTGTCCAGTAGAGAACATCTATCATACTTTAAAAAGGTACAAAACAGGTAATCAAGCACGTAAAAGTATTTTGCATTAGTTCAATCAAAAAAAAGTAATGTGTTTGTTCTAACCTTTATGACGCTTCTAATATTAATCATGCGTTTTTCTTCATTTCCTTATTTTTTTTTTTATCAAATCATCCTATGTTTTCATTCTATCAATGCATGCATTTATATATCTTTCCTAGAGAAAAATGCACATTTTATATAAAATTTCATTTAATATAGTATTAATACTCATCTGCTGTTTTTTTATATCTACGTTAAATGATTTCACTCCGTCTATATTTGTCATTCTCTCTCTTCATAAATGCTCATTAACTTCAATTAGTCAGTTCTGCATACTTTCTTTTTTTTTACTCATATGCAGGTGAGAATAGGAGTGACACTCTTTGCTTCATGCACATCCATACTTCACACTCAAAAAAAAAAAATAGACGCACTACTTCGAATATTTGATGGTACAATAATTTGATAAATGTCTTTCGATATTTTTTAAGCTCTCCATATCATGATAATATCTGAAGGATGATAAAATATATTGTAGAATTATAGAATACTATTCGAGCCATCAGTATATGTAAAAAAAAACAAATTTTTTTCTCAAACTTTCTATAAGATATGATAATATTAGTGCCATCAGTTTAGGTATATGCTAAGTATCATATCTGTTGATTTACAAAAGCTTTCTCGAACATATATAAAATATGACTTGAAATGAAGAACTCTTTACAGATCTGCAAAAATTTAATAATTTTTTGTTTTGATAGACTGATTAGATCGAGGCTGAGCTAGATTCTCCATGAAAAAAAAATTGAATAAAGTTTCTAACAATCCATCTGTAAGCAATAGAAGATGTTTGTGTATAAGAAAAGTCTAATTCTTTGACTAATAATGTACTTCTTATGTTTCACAGCGATAGTAGTATATAGTTTAATAATGGAAGAACGTTTAAATAAACGAGTTTATTTGCGTGCTATGAATATGCAACTTTAAATAAATGCATACTGTGAGTATATAAACTCAACTAAGTATGTGCTTGTTGAGATAACGATCAACAAAAATACCAGCACAGAACTGAATCTAAAAGTGTAAGAGAATGAAAAAAAATCTAATGACTTATCTACTTGTTGTGCCACTCACAAAGCGCAACAGATGTGTAATTGAATGCAGCATCAACACATAGACAGTTACACATTCCTACAAAGAAAAAAATAAAGAATCATGGGTTCAACTATGTTTATTTCTTAGATATTGAAAATTTTTAGATTCTATTTTTTCATTATTGAAGATAGAAAAATAGAAATGAATTAAAACCTTTGAAAGAATTTTTAAGTTTCTATGCATACTCATTGAATATATCAAAGTAATTGACAATTTTAGATTATTGATGCTGATGTTTGTTTTTTGTTTCTCTATTAAACAATCGATGCAAATTTTAGATTTTCTTCTTTAATTAGCTTATTGTTAGTTAATCTATTTATTAGTAATATTTGTCAAATCTTTTACAAATTCATCAATGATATATTAAGAGTTACAAACATTGTTTATTACAATCAAAAAAAACCATACAAATGATGATAAATAAACATAGAATACGCTATCAACAAAAATTATCAATCTTTGAATATATGATATGAACTTACTCATTATACAAAAATATTAGCTGAATAGAACTTCATTTAGGTTTTTTGACAAGAAAGGTATCTATAACATTGTAAATAGGACCATCTCATATGCTCAGATTCGTTCATAATGCTTCCTCAAGAAAGTCCAAAAGTAGATATAAGCAGTTCACACTGATTTTTCGGTTGGATTGAAGATCTGTCCGGATTCAAAATATAACAATTATGATGCAGGTTTAAAGAGCAAAAATGCAGAGAAGAACCAAATATTATACTAGCTTTACAATTTTTTAAATGTAATTCGTTAGAAAAGATCAACTATGTTGAATTTGTAATCATCGGAAAGCACAATAAACTTTACTTTGATTAGTCATTATCGTCATAGACAGATTGCTATGCTGTATTGTTGATGACCTTGCTAAAGTTCTATACAGATATTGGATTATTAAGGCTGATGAAAAACGAAAATGAGACAAGAGAGAAAGCTATTGCCGAATTTAGTCAGAGTGACACATTGATTTCATGATCATTTGATATGAATAGCGATTCTTTCTGGTTCTGTCATTTGGCCATTACTATTAGAGCTGCTTTGAACTTAGCTTTTCTTATAGATCAGTTTGTTTTATTATACATAGTATTGAAAATATGTTTCTTGAGTTTGTTCAGTATCAACATCATCTGTTTTTATCTTGATAACCTATCAGTGACTTCAACGATGACGATTAAATAGGTCTTGCGATTATTCTTGGTGATAATGCCATAGTACGTGTGAAACTGGATAGGGGTAGAAATTTTCTTATATTAACTCGTTTTCTAGTTGTTTGTGCTCAACTGACGAGTATTACCTGTGATGTGATATGTGGAAATTGTATGGATTTACTCGTTCTCAGCTGTTGATGTTGGTAGTTTTAGTTAGTGGTTGTGTAAGAATAGATGCATGTTTAATTAAATACACTCATTTGTTTGATTTAGAACTCACAATCATCATTTTCATCCTCACTATTTCACTCTGACTTTCACTTCCTTACCATCATTCGATGCTTTGACAGAGTATTGATGATCTGCTTAAGTTACCATTCTCAAGATTCAAAAGTCAATCAGATCGTAAGTGATGTAGAGATGTGATATAAAAGTCTTTCCTTAAGTTTCTGTTTGCAACACTTTTTTAACTATCCTAATAACGTGAATAAAAGAAAGGATGTATATGTATGGAAATGAATGATACCACTCTTTTCAAAAGACAAATCAGTTTTTATTTGACAAAATATATCGTATTTCATGTCTTTTATACAGATGATGCAAACTTCTAATACGTTAATCGTTTAATATGTCACTTCAAATGCAATTTAATGATGAAGAGTAAAATAATACGTTTTATATGAGACTAATTAATTCGAAGTTAAGAAATATTACATAAATTCACAATCAATTATCATAGAATAGGCAATTTTTATATATTTCTATTATTAGATCTTTAAAAAAGAATGAATTCTAGAGTTTATTTTTTTCCATTGGCGAGATACTCGTCTGTGGAAAGGGTCTTAGCATAAGCAAATTGAAGAGCAGCCATGAATGCTGCATGCACATATTTAGCTGGAATTGGCATTCCATTAAATTCAAGATCACGAGTGGCACAAGCATCATGGATAACGATACAGTCATATCCAAAGTCAAACGAAGCACGAGTTACGGCATCAATACAATTTTGACTCATAGCACCGCAAATGACTACTTGTCGAATACCATGACCATCTAATATGTCCTTCAGATTGGTTTCTCGATAGGAATTGGTGTAACGTTTCACTACAACATATTCATCTTTCAAGTTCTGTACTTTTGGATGGATCTGAGCTCCAGAAGATTCTGGCTTGAAAAATGGTGCATCATTAGTCGTAAATTCGTGACGAATATGAACTATAAGATCACCAGAAGCACGAGCTGCTGCAAGAATACGAGCTGCATTGTCAGCAGCAGCATCCATACCACATAATGTCCATAATCCACCAGGAAAGTAGTCATTTTGAAAATCAACAACGAGTAATGCGCGCTCACTTTTATTGGAACGATGAATCGAAGATTGGCTAGCCATACTGACAGTATTATAATAATATATTTACCTTGAAAAAGCACGTTTTCAGATGACTTTTGATATGCAAATGCAACCTTTTATAAAGGTTAGTAATGTAATATAATTTCTTCATGTGTATAGGTAGTAAGCCAATAACCTTGTAAGCAAATATCTGTTTCTCGTCAGTCGTTGTTCTTTTTTTCTGCTCTACTCATCTTGCATCGTCAACAACCAAATTGCTTCGTCATATTGACGAGGTAATTTTCTTTAAAGTGATTCGTTGTTTTTGCGTTCGAAGTTTATGTATATCATCGATTGCAGCAAATTATAAAGAAACTTGTTGAAAGAATCCTTTTTTTAACGTCTTTCTTCCATGACTGAACCAATAATAAATGAGCTACATACTATTTGAAGACCTGTATGCAATGTTGTAAATGTCGAAAGTTGGAAGAAAAAATTTAACTGGATTTTTTTTTATTTCTAGAAGTTATACTGTAACGTATCTCGAATAGAAGGTTTTGTACCCTTTTATAATAAAAGAAACTATAGGAAAATATTCAATCTTTTCCCCAATGTCTTTTTTCCAGATTTGCACAAACATTTCCTGGAAAAATTAACATAAGAAATGATGAAAATTTCAGATCTACCTTCAAAAGCAAGCTCGAAGATCAAGAAAGTTTATCTACCATGTGAAAATCTGTTTGTTACAGTTAGGTTAGTGTTTTTCAGAAAACACCTGACAAGAGGTTGAACGATTTGAGTAGTCATTTGTTTACGCTTTTCAGATAATAGATTTTTAACTTGTATATATACAGAATTAATTGTATGTTAAAGGATTTCAGATTTTGACTGAAATCAAGTATACAGTGAAAAAAAAATGAAGACTTGGTTTGATTCTTTATCATACTGAAACCTATTGAGCTAATACGCTTTTCATAGAGATCAAACAATATTTGAGATATTCTATCTATTACCAAAAAATATTGTTTTGCTTAGTTTTACCAATGCTTGAAAAACAGTCAGATGTAGATCTCAGTGTGTGGATGTAAGGGTAAATTTAGAAGATGGAAAGCAAGCAAAGGCTAAGAGATAATCTAAGACCATATCTAGTCAATACTCATATTCACCCTTGCCCAGATCCTTAGAGCGACCTATGTATATAATTGTTTAATGAAATACAGTCTCAGTTTGGTTAGTCGATAATCAAAAATGTTAAATCATTTTTTCATTTTTCAAACATAAAACATTCAAATCATGTTAAAGATACAAAGGATTGAAATTGAATCAGCCTTATCATCCCATCGGCCGCAAACTTGGAGGTCACCCTGAACGCGTACTTGTTTTTTTAATATACCATTCTTATATTCATCTTTGTGAGGTACCATATATTCGTCACCATTTCGAATTTTGATTACATTAGCATTTGGTATTATCATATGAATCAATACTTGTTCATTCTCATGTACAAGACGTTGAAAAGGCTCGATCAATATGCAACGATGTTCTGTAAAAGTTGCATATGTAATTGGAAACATAAATGCATCTTCTATATTTGATACACGCAAGCGCATATTGATCGCATCTACATACATAGTTTCATTTTTTGTTTTTGCAAAGATAATTATTTCATAAAGACCATCAAGAGGTGGAGCAATAAAGCAATTGTAAACATCCTTATTGGTTTCATCTCGTTGACATAATGTGTGTAAACTGCGCGGATAATCAACGTCTCCAACCTTCACATCTGCGAACAGATCAATATGTGCTGGTGCTTGAATTGCAATTTTAAATAAATTTTGATTTGTTACATTTAAGCCTTGTTTAGGTGATAGCAATGTTAAACCAAACCTATAATAAGTTGATTTCATTACAGGCAAGGTAAGAAATTCTTCTTTGGTGATTTCTGGATCGAGTAATTGATATCCATTGACATAATGTGTATAGATAAATTCTTCAGGTGATGTAAGAAAGTAGAAATCTTCAAGTTTTTTATCATAATCTCTGCCACCTGCACCCCATGTTGGATCGATTAGATAAGTATACTGATCTAGTACAATGCTATTCCAAGCATGAAGTGATTGTTTAAGTTCTTCACCTGGTTTAAGAAAAGCTTGTCTAGAATAGCCTCCTATTTCAGCACATTCAATGCCTAACAATGAGCAACATTCATGATAGAGACTAACGAAACCTCGGCAAACACCTTGTCTTGTACGAAAAACAGTCTCAGCAGCATTGTTATTACAATATGGTTGATATTGAATATTTAGAGCAATCCAACAGAAGAGTAACCATGCACGTTCTAAATCATTTGCTCCATTTTTTTTGATTTCGCTAGTAAGATCAGCCATTGATTTTACTGATGACCATTGTTGAACGACATTACGTAATTGCTTATTGGCAACGACAGCATCACGTTTTTGTCGAAAAGGAGCATCGATACGTGTCTTCTTACTATCGGCAACAATTTTAACTTCACGATTGCTCATCATAATGGTAGGTTTTCGCCCATGCGTTATTTCGGTGGCAGTAGACGATGGAGAAGGAATGTCCAATGTTGATTTCTGTTGTTCCATGAAAGCATCGAGTACGGTTTGTTTGATAACATCTCGTAATAATGAGGATTGCTGTTCCACAACAGAATCAACTATTACTTGTTTTAGTTCGGTGAGCATTTTGTTTAATTCAACGGAATCATCTTTTTTCTTAGCCATATGTTTTTCGATTGTTTGTATAAGAGTCTCTTGTAATCGATCTATTCCCTGAACATTAGGCGATGCTGGTTGAGCAATATCATCCTTTTCAATAATACTCTCTCGTAGTTTTCGTTCAGCAGTTGTAATTAGAGTATTTTCAAGCTGTTCAAATACCGATGGTAACTTCCGTTGTGGATTTGGTGTCTTTCTTATTTTTGGTTTTCCGGAACTAGCTACAGAGGAATCATGACCACCGTCTCCAGTCCTTCTTACAATCTCTTTATCTTCTTTGTCCTGTGGATGGCTCGCTGATAGCCGTTGATCATCCCCGGCAGGCACTCTATCATGATGAGCTCTCCGTGATGGTGATGGCTCCGGTGTGCGTGAACCATGTACGGCAGACGGAGATTTTGGTATAGCTGTTTTCGTTCTAGCTGAACTAGGTTCATGAAGTTGTACAGATTGTTGAACTGCTTGACACAAATCATCAATTTTATTAAACACACCTTTGACTTTCAGATATCCTTTTGCCCATTGTTCGTGAAAAGCTACTTTGTGACACATAATAAAGATGGACTTTAGTTGGGGCGCATCATGAATAGCTGGTATTGTGTCTTTGCCTAAGCCACCGGAGACAATCATGACGATTTTCTTATTGGTATTTTCAAAAAGAAAATTGACAAATAGATCGCTTTGGCTGAATATATCAAAGGAACCGAAGATACTTTGTAGATAATTGAATGATTGAGGAGACTTTTTCTTAAGTTCGTCGACTTCTTCAGCTAACCAGATCAGATGGAAATTTTTGGCGCGAGACTCTGTGCTACTGGTACTGGCAGGAGATACAGGCCGATCAGCTGTGGCACCTTTACAAAAGTAAAAGAATATATTGATTGTTTATTTGCTAGGGAATTTATTACCTGGTGCTAATGTTTTTCTTTCCATGTGGAAAACGATCTGAAAAAAAATGCAAACTTGATCGCATGATTTTCTTTATTAAAAGCCGAACTATCCGGAGATTCTTAAGATAATGGGTTTTTTTCGAAATTCTTCAATAATGTATTCGAAACAAATACATATATATTTTTGGTGTAAATCATAGCCGTAGTTTGCTTATAAACATAATTTTTTTCTTTTCTTCTATCCTCAAAAAAAAATCAACTAATCTGTTCACATTACGATTGAAATATTAAATTTTCTTTTCGTAGTCAATTTGAAAATATTCTATATCTCATGTGAAAATCTCTATTCAAATTAAACGAAAAAATCTTGTATGATTGACTGTGAAATTGCATTGAAAAGCAACTTCTTCATACATTCTCAAAATCAACAATGGCTTTTTTTTCGTTCGAGCCCTTCAATCACTATGGACTCCCACGCACACACACACAATGTATGCTATCATAGAATGCAAATGATAAAAAAATGCCTTTACTACCTAAAAAAACACTGGCAGTTTCTATTATAAGCTATGTTATTCTCTTTTTTCGTCGATTTCCTTGGCCAATTCAATATGTTGCTGTCTCGCACTGTCAGTCAAAAGTGTTTTTTTTTTCGTTCTGTTAAGAGCTCTATCAAAGAAATCTAAATAAACACAACAAGAAACCCATTACTGCCGTGTAAGAGAATGAAAATAACCCATGTCGTCAAAAATCTCATTCTTAATGAAACAGACATTTTTCTGCCTGCTTTATACATAGTTAAGTGTTGAATGAGTTGAATAAATAAATGAATTGAGACACGAGTTAAGTACTTCCTTTGATTTCGTTTTTCTTCTGAAGATTTCTTCATAGTGTCACATGGACAATACAGAGGTTGTTTAAGTTGGTTGTTTTTACAATATTTGTTCCGACATCTTCTGAAAGCTTCAAAAACCACTATTTCCATGTTTTAAAAAAGAAAAAAAAATTAATAGTTTAATCAAAACTTAAACGTTGATTTTTCTCAAAAGTTTTTAGAATCAAGAAAATAAAAAAACTTGTTTCTTTGGTGTAAGTGTCCTTGAGAAATGGTCCCTCTTATGGATATATCCCTGGTCCTGAATGATTGTTTTTTTAAATACATGTTACTAGAAGTTAGACGTTTGATGTAATCCGAATATAATTCAGTAGATATTTAATTTGTTTATATAATGAAGAGTCTACGCATATCTACCACATCCTAACCTGGTTAATCCTCACTAGTCATAGATCTAAATGGTGTCGATCTATGATAAAGATTTTCGAGATTTTGCTGGCATAATTGAAGGGATATCAATGTTTTAATGTAAGAAAATCAAATTCTGTAATGCTTAGTCAAGTCGATATATGCTCACAAGTGAAACTTTTGATATTCAGTGGATTTTCAAACAAGCTTGCATAAAAATGAGTATTTATATATTTCCCTTTACAAAAAAGTAATCAGCGTCAACAATTGAAAGATATATATTTTGCTGGACAGACTATTCCTTTTTCTTTACATTTGTTCAAATATATAAGAGAAGATAATTTAATAGTAAAATGAAATAGACTGAAAATGAAAGAATATTTTGAAATACACGGCTACTTTTGTGAGTTTATCTTATTACTTATTATTGCTGTAAATTTATTGCTGTCTATTTTATATTATGATACTTACCACCAGTTCTCTTTATTTTTCGTTTGCGTTTGAGCCGTATAACGGGAGATAGAATAATATGAGGTTATAAACTGATTAAATAATACATAAAAAAACGGATATCTATATAAGTCTATACATTGGACTAAATAAAAACGTTTTTATTACAGTACAGCAAAAATCTTCTCCTTGAAGTTTGACAATAACTGTGATGCATAGCATCCATAAATAAAGCATTAGAAAGTTATATTTTTTAAGTAACTAATCGATTTCCTTTCTTAATCTTAAATAACTTAAAAACTGAAGTATCATTTCTTTGGTATTGATAACAAAAAAAACTCATAAGAATTCGTCGTGATTTGATTACTTTTATTCATGTTTACCTCACTCAAGTATTGTTTACAATTGTTTAATTGCACAGGGGTTCCCAAAATTATAAGACCTCCCCTCGAAGTTTGAGAATAATAAAGTTTTCAGCTACTAAAGAAGCTTTGATAAGGGATCTAATGCCATATATA